TGATGGAACCGAACAGAACGGTGAATTAAAAGGAAGAAGGCTTGTGAAACACTTTTAATTGTGGTGGGGTTTGATAATGCCCTAAGGTACACATAGTTGGTCAGTGCGTTCACAGTCGGCACAGAAATCCGACTAGCTCGGTATCGTCAGGGTATCGCATCCATGTCAAAAAATACCTAGACAGATAATAAAAATCTTCGTATCACTACTGACCAGATTTTTGAACTACATCAGGAGCCAAAACGCAAGCCGTCAGATGAGTCACAAACCACACCATGAAAAGTTGTCTCGGGGCAACTTGCGTGAATACATCCATAGTATAAAGATTGTTTGTTTCTACGCGAAATTTATGGTTCCAATAAATTCTGCTATATACGCAATCTTCAAATTTGTACCTGGGAAAAGATGCTTCAAAAACCAATTCCACACTATGTAAAGTAGAGGATAAAATGCCGATAAGTGGTCCGGTGACTAATAAGATATAAACAGGGTGTAGGCACGAACGTTTTAACCAGATCCATTTAGTAACGATTGGTTCGCTGCCGCCCTATTATGAATAGTCAAGCACCACAGGGGGTTTACAATAAATAACTTCATATCTTCTAACTTTATTTGCCACCACGACTCGGCCGATCGACAAAGTAGTGTATATCCATCGTAAAGCACAAAGTTCGACTACTTGGGCAGAAGCCATGAGTGAGCATGCAGAAAGCCTTAAAAATCTAACGAGAAACCAAAACAGCAAGGTTTATAAGGCCCTGGATGAGAACGAAAGCCTGGGTCAGAAATAAGGTTTAGTGAAAGGACCATACACGGGCTAATGTACATACGATGCTTGACACTGAGAAGTCAAAAACTGGACTAAGTTGGTTTTGGGCATGTCCACGGGTAACTTCAGATGGAACACAACAGAGTTTTGCGGCATATGACTGAAAATTTTGATAAAACTAAACCTAGTATAAGCCTTTTTCGTCAAAGGACATTCGTATCGAGTAACCAGTCAAATCAAACCGTCGTCTTGCCTACAGCATTTGCATAAGGCATAAAAACGCACGGATTTTCGAATACTTAACTTATCAATCAATAAACTAACGAGAATTTAAGATAGACTCAGAGGAAATATTATAATTACAAAGGTAAACGCTACGGGACATCTAAAAGATGGTTCAACCAGGAACACAGGCTAATCAAATTATGATCTTGTAGTCAGGGCCCATTTCTTCCTTGGATGGCAGCTTCACGCGCTCCGGTGGGATGAGATTGGGGTCGACAAGTGGAAGACCAAGACGTCTGCGACGCTCCAATTCAAGAAAGGCCTCACGTCTTGCCCAGTCATGTTCCCTAGGACACACGAATTGTTTAGAAGAAAGGGCAAAATTAGACAGACACTGAGGTAAAAATCGTGAAGATTACAGATTTGAAAAAAATCACACCATCGGTACCCCGGCAAGAGGGTGTGGTTACACAGGGTTTTTGAAAGACTGGTAAAGGCGATAGACTTGGATTGAGATAAAGAAAATAATAGGTGGCGTATTCGAAAACCTAGTGGTATAAATTTGGCAGCAAAGCAGAAGCCACAACAAACGGGTCATAATAGTCCAAAAACACAAGGGGAAATCCGTAAAAAATAAGCCGGAGGCGTGGGGCTGAGGCTCCGAAAAATAAAGATAATACAGACGTACTAAAGTTGTTGATTTGCTAGCCGCCAGGTGCGTCCACAGATTGAGGACAGTGAAACAGCCTTCGGTAAAAATTAGCTGCGAATGAAGCAGGTGACTCTCGGGGCTGACGAATAAGTAGACGCGGACCAGTATTGAGTGCCGACAACCCAAAAAATACTATTAAGTCGGACGATTAAATTGTGAAGAAACACTGGAAGAAGTTGTTTGTCATTGGTGCGTTGTGGATAGGTCCTTTAGCGAAAACTAGAGACGGCCGACAAGCCGTCTATGCGGCAGTTGGGAAGCCACCTGTACTGTAGATTTCTAAGAAACGTTGTGAAAATTCTCGAATATGGTGTTTATGAAAAACCGAAGTGCTCCATACCCGGTCCATTGGTACGGGTTGGGTAGAGCTCTCCAGATTCGCCGCCACCAATCGTCACGCATGGAGAGGTACCGTCCGTGACGTCATGGAGGCCGGCTAGATCAGGCATGATCACAGCCGTAACAAGTAAGTCCATTGGTATGGGCGAATAGTATGCGAGCTGGATTATCCAATCGAGAACGGACTCCTAACATCGGATACTGAAAGATGCTAACGTTTCTGAACCCTAGAGTCTGGCTGTGCGCAATCTTCACCAAGCTTCAGCCACCTAAGAAAAAAGACTGGAGTCGTTTGGGTAAATGCTCAAATGATTTTTGGACATTAAGTATTGGTTATTGTCGCTGGAGGAAAGAATGGGTCGAGTTTTCGAAATTCACTGAAACAACCTATCATACGTGGACGGATACGATGAGCGAAGACATCGTGACCGACAAGAAAATACATAAATACATCATGTTTCATGCTTCCATAACAGTTACAAACAAGAATTTAATAAGCCAAACTTAGGCATCACGGAATAAAATTATTAGGTGACAAAGAACTTTTCAAGGAAAATCAGGAAACTTACAAGCCTCTGGGTCTGTACCACATCTGGTACGTGAACCCAAATGTGATTAGAACGCACATGATAAAGGTTCCAACTTTATACTTGTATATGTCATCATATTTGTCAGTTTCGTTCCAGCCAAATGGAAGCCAATCCTTTTAAGTAGTAATTACTGGTGAAGCTATACCTTCAGAGTGTCTCTGACTTCCGACTCAATCTGCTTTTTAGTATCCTCCGAAAGATTATTGTGATTGAGGATGTGCTTAAAAGAAGGCCCACCGGCGCATGTGACTTGAGAAGTGCTAAGCAGTCTAAGTTGAATTGGGGAAAATTTGGCCGGGCTCACACGAAGCCGCGGCAGAAAAGCGCGGACAACCGACTGAAAGGCCATCTGAGACCAACTCACACGAATGTGCTTTTCCTCACTGAGCGCAGTAGAACAATTCCAAAGTCAAAGTTAACAAAGATCTAATGTCGCTAGTTATTCAGTCGTAGGTCAACGCGCCGTATTAATCCAAACATTAAACACACATAAGAAATTAAATGTGGTTTGCTAGAATAATCATGGCCATGGACTCAAGCTAGGGACTACTGAATGAACCAGTAATTAGAGTGGTACGCTTAGGAGCATAAAACTAACAAACGAAGCCTAATGGTGACTGAAATCAGTACAGTAACGTCTTCAAAATTTTAATAAATCATAGACAAAATACCAGAAAATGCCAGCAAATTTTAGAAAAAAGTTAAGGAAAATGAAATAATCATGGAAAAATCTACTAACAGCCGAAGAACAAATTTAAGAATGACGCAAAGGCATATGAAACATGATAAAAGTAAGGAAAAGAATGCAGATTTGTTCTTTGAGATGCAGCATTGGAGCGCACTCGTAGACAAGACAGGTAACAAGTATGCGTCCTGGTATCAACAAGGGAGGGGTGGAACAATGAGACTTAATTTACTCAACGTCATGCTAACGTGTAACATCCTTCGCCGTTCCAAAACGTATACGTTACGCACAATCATTCAGATAGACTTCATACAAAACGGGCATAATCACTTCCAAAGGTAGACTGCAACACCATTTTTCCGTCTGTGAATTAGAAACATGACAGTCGCACAGAATTTGCCGATGAGCATTCGAAAGTTCAAAATAATAAATAAAATAAATAAATTTTATATTTTAGGCCCGAAGGGCCTCGTCATTGCTATGGTAACCAGGAGATTTTGGAAGGAATAGCATCATTGGTATGTGGGAATGGGGTAAATTCGGCTAATACTGGTAAACTTCTGTCTATGTGTGTAGTATTTTATGAGTAAATGGGCAAGAAGTCCGTATATAAGGGTATCAGTTGTCTCTGAATAAATTTATTCTGTAGCGACTCCACTCCATACCCAAACGACTATTCTTAAGAAAACGTTCCTTCGGGTGTCCACGTAGACTGACGTTCCCTGCAGCTCAAAGAGGAAACCGTCTATTGGGTCCAGCCAGTCTAAGTATATCCTTGAATTATAGAGTGGACGCACTGCGTCTCATAATTAGAGGACTTTGGGTAATAACCCCTCTTTAATTTGCCGATAATCTACAGTAAATAGATTAATTTCAATCAGTTGGGGCTTTCACAACAACATGATAAGATCTTATTGCTGGTCTTAGCACCCACTCGGACTTGTTAGAGTAGTTTCTGGTCCACCTTTAGTCCATAACGCCAAGAATATACAACGTATCCCAAATTGACCTGAAAAATTACCGAAAAATTATTTATTACATTGAACAAGTGCCGCTCTCAGCGCGTATTACACCTGCGTAGGTATTACAACTACTATTACTCTGTACAGAAACCACATGGGCGAGGGGACGTTTCTGTTCATCCACTTTAAATAGAAGTGATATATCTGCTTCAGTATGGTTCATCATTTTTAGGTAATAGGCATTGCCTATGAAGAGACGCATGAAAAACAATCTGTAATTATAAAATAAGGAGGAGCATATTCACATTTTAAAAAATTGTAACAGTGGAATTTACGCATATTCATCCTGAAGATTAGAGATACACTTTTATATCTAGGACATTACCAGCAAAGACAGGGGACACTAGGAAGGCCTTTTCTGCCTTG